ATGAATCCGCCAGTGTTTAAATACCTATATGTTTGTTATATACATATATATGCTTAAAGGCACATCAGGTTTTTTTTTTTTTTTTCTTTTTAGTGGGATCACGAGCTATGTGCAGTAAGTATGTTTTTTTCTTTTTTTTCCACACTTTACGTACACTTGATGCATTATGCTGCACATGCGCTTAATGCTTAACGTACATTCATCACAAACATCTTGACCAAAAACATAAATAAATAAATAAACGAAATAAAATAAAAGCAACAAACAAGTATGTGCGAGAATGTGCGATGCACATAGTAAAAGACTGAATTTTGCCTGAAATTATAATTTTTGTCGCTGCATTTTTGAATGTGACAAAGAAATCAAATTGCGATCGGTTTTCCTTTAAAAATATTCGGATGAAAGCTTCAATTAAATTTTGCCTCTTGACGGTAGCTGCGTTGAACTAAATAATGTTTCGTTTTATCTAGCATTAAACCTCAGATTAAGAGGATGCCAACAGACGGTTATCAACGTTCCAGTCCTATTAACGCACTCACGCGTAATAAATGAGATTAATTAATAATCTTACCTTGAAGTGTGGTCTAGAAGAGAATATTTTCCCCTCTTCAGCTTTTTATTCTTTCTATTCTCCTTTTTCCTTGGTACTTCTGTGAAAATTTGAATCCAAAAAGGTAGAATAAAGGCTAAGATTACAGAGAATAAAAACAAAGTAAATATATGTTAACGAGTTTGTAAACCAAACTAATTCGATGGAAGTTGATCCCAATGTAGCCATTTTGTTAAACGCATATCCAGGCTTTTTTCTCTTTAAACCTTCATAGAAACCTTCTCAAGCCAGTGGTTAGATTTCACTGTAATGCGCTTGTTGTTTGGCTACAGATTGATTGATTATATGGAAAATTACTTAAGATTTTAATTTTTAAGAAATGTGATAAAGTGCTTTGCCACTAAACTAAACTAAAAAACTGTCACTCAGCAAGAGCAAGGGATGTACATTCATTTCATTTTCTCAGCCTCCGTTCCCGATGAAGTAATATGTGCGTGTGGTTTTTAATAGAAAATGTAGAAAATGTAGAAAGGACTTTTCATTTGCCGGGCGACGCTCAATATAATATGACTTGTGAAAGAAGAGAGAAAAATAGAGTCTTGTACTTACTGACAAACGTTGCGAGCAATACTAATTTTGGAAAATTATTTCTAATAAGAGGAATTATGTTACAAAGATGCCATGCACAATATTTGATTACATTGGAGATTCTCAGGAATATTTGACTTTGATGTCGAACCGGGTATCGGGTATTGTTTTCTATTTCTTATAAATTGAAGTTGATACAAAAGACGAGGACTTGAAAACTTACGAACATATCATATGATTGGGACGCTACATTTTAGAGCTGATCCTTACGATCTACGAAATATGATATGAAAGTTTGAAAAAGATGCCAGTGTCCTTTCCGAATTATCTATTCGTTTGAAAGCCGTAGCAATCAAGTATAATTTCACTGTTTTACCTGTGTCAAGGTTATGCAAGTGTTTAGTATCAAAAAAGTTGTCAATGGGTCCGTTAAGCTATAGTTCGTTAGAGCAATACGGTGTACAACTTGCCGTCCGACAAAGGATACGCTTTACTCGCTGGTTAAGCGCCATTCATTCATGCAATCAATTTATGGCATATCGTCGGCAAAGCTTGGTAAGATTTTGGATTTATAATGCCTGCAGCCTGAGTTATGACAGAAGAGCATACCTGCTATGTTAAAAAACTAATATATATTTTTTAAGTCCGAGTTAGGATATATAGCGCTTGTTAAAAGCGAACTAGCCTATGGTGATTTTTAACAATGAAATGTCGCTTTTGCGTATCATTCAAATTCACGCAATTCAGTTGCTTCAAAATCCCAAAAGTATTTGAGATAACCGAAAACTGATGATGAAAAAGAAATAGAAAATTAAGTACACGTAAGTTAAGCTGAAATTCGAGCCATTGTTTTAATAAACAGATATTTTTAATGAAATTTAGCTTCTGTACGGAATTTTATTATATATATATGTATGTGTATTTATGTAAGTTATTATAATAAAATCAACAAATTCCTTTTTAAATGACCACAAAAATTTTAATTTCAAAACACCACAAATCATGCTAATAAACACACACACATGCACATGCACATATACATATGTACAAGTTTACTAATAAATACACAAATCTATATAAACATATATGTTTATATATTTGTTTTTATTTATTTATACGTATGCGGGTTTTTCGTAATTTTAAGACCGAAGATAGTGCGTTATCGCTTAAACAGTAATATTAAAAAAAAAATAATAAAAAAATAAAAAAATCAAAAATAAAAATTATAATAATAATAGCCATACATAATAATTAAGCGATGACGCCGATGAGTGTTTGAGTTTTAAATGCCTTCAGTTACAAGCGGAGAAGAACAAGAAAAATATAAATAATAATCATAATAATAATAATAATAATAATAATAATAATAATAGGAAGAAGAAGATAAAGAATATATAAGACGTAGAAATGTGAAAGACTTTATCATTCATTATCAGAAAGCCTATGTAACTGAAACGTATAACATATGTTTAGCTCATTATCTGCTTTACTCAACATTAATCATAATTATTTCCCATATATATGTAAGATCTACCGAAATAAATTTAAATGTTTTCAGGTAAAAATTTTCGATCATTATTCAAAAACTTTAATAAAATAAATCACTTAACATTGATCGTTATTGGCAATTTTCATAATGAATGTTTGACAAAAATAATGCGTAAAATCGTTTATTAGATAGATTTACTTAAAAAAAAATATATATAAATAAATAATAAAAATCAACAGCGAACATAAAATGCTTTACCACCAAAAACAAAAAAAAAAAAAACAAAAAAAGAAACATATGGTCACTAACAAGGTTTTTTCAACAGCACAGCGGCAGCTCTAAGCAACGCGCGGGTTCAGTTTAAAAATATTTACCCAAAATCAAATGCTAATCAAAGCATACACACGAAAAGTTCCAGCTAGACCGTCAACGTTTCTGTACAAACTCCTATAGACAGTACACAGATGAACATGTTAGATATAAGGGGAAGTTTTGTCGTTTCTTGTTTCTTGACCGGGTTTTTTTTTTTGAAAAACTGAACCGTTTAACAATAAATGTGAAGATTTGATGGGGTTCACGATTTTGATTTATTTTCTAAAAATATTTGTCGAAAGTTTGCCATTACTTGGCGTACGCGACGTCAAGGGATTATATAATTAACTTAATAGTTAAAAAAGTTTAATAATATATTTAACCCTACAATCCTTGTATTGCGTATTGATTAGGATATCGAAGGATAGTTATGTCTTAAGATTGTGCATGCATCGAGATGCAGGCGAAAGAAAACAGTTGAACTTTATCTCACATCTATTACAGACATAAATACATATGTTCATGGGTGTGCATGAATGCACAAGGAGGCTATAATTTTGTAGATTTTTTTCTTTTTTTTTTTTTTTTCTTTCGTATTTTTGTATTTTTAGTTTTTCGCTTACAACTACTTTGGCTGTCAATTGTATGTAAACAAACCAAAAATTGTTATAAAATATTAAGTGTTTGAGCCATAAATGTAAATCGTGTTATATTAGAGAATTTTTCCTAACAGTGACTGACTGACTTAAAAAGTAGTCAAAAGTCTAAACAATCCAGTAAGCAGCGAGCAAGCAAGTAAGCAAGCAAGTAAGCAAGCGTGCGTGCGTGCGTGCGTGCATGCATGCATGCATGCATGCATGCGTATATGTTTGGTGAATAAATACTAAGAAAAATAATAAGAAAAAAAAAAAAAAAAAAAAGTACAGATAAATAAATAAAGAAAAACAGAGAGAGAGAGAAAAAAAAAAAGGCTTAAAATGAATGCCAGTATAGAGTTAACTTATTTGTCAGAAGTGTTAGATTTTACAGATTTTTATATTTAACAGATTTTTACGTATAAGTAAGGAACAGGTTTTGAACTTTATCTTTACTTTGATAATAAATAAGAAATTATGAGACATATAAAACTGTCCAGAAGTCCAGAAGTTAATTACATTTTTGTGGTTTTTAAACACCCTCTCTCAATCAAACGTAGACGCGAACACACACAAACACATAAATATAAATTTCGTCAGTCAGTCAGTCAGTCAGTCAGTCAGTCAGTCAGACAAAGTCAGTCATAACCATTCATTTAGGCTAGTACTGACTGACAAGTGTTTAGTATGTATTGGTAGGCAAAAATTCTTATCACATTTTTTTTTTTTGTTTTATTTTTATATAATTTCCTCTCAACCTCAATTCAATAAATAAACAAAAAGCTACTTGAGAAATGGTTAATAAACTCACAGTAACAACAACAAAAACGACAAGAAAAACAAATTATTTTTTATTTATATTTAATTACATTAAAATAGAATGACGTCAATAAACGTTATATATATATTAATCTTACAAATTGTTTTTTGTTTTTTTTTTTTAATAAATATCAACAATTATCAATTGATAAAGAATTAAAAACGGCAAAGCATTTACTTATCAATTTTTAGATTCCTTCGTTTCAAAATCTAATCAATAGGCAGAGTGGGTGGTCAGTCAGAAACTAAATGCCTGTAAAACTGTTAATATATTTATTGAAACGCACACACACACACACACACGCATACACAATCAAACGCAAATAACGAAAGGTTGATCACCCCTTGTCACTCTTTTCAAACGATTTCGCCAAAAAATTCTCTTTATCATTATGAATTTATCTTAATGCCCCGAATGCGTTTAATTAATTTTTGATGTAAAATAAATTCAAAAATTGCATTCGCTCAGGTGGCTAAGCAAGCGATTGATAAGATTGTTTAGATGGTGCCTTCAAATATTCTTGCAAACTCTATTTATTTATTAATTTTTTTTTTTTTTTTTTTTTTTTTTTTTTCTTTTACTAAGATTCTCTTTCCTACCTTCTAGCTAACGTATTCATACCTATCGGTCTCGGGTCGTGACTTCAACTTGTATATATGGTAAGCGTTTCTTTCTATCCCTAAGGCTCTCAGATTAACAGTAACTTTTGGCGAAATCTTTGAGAAATATTTTCAAGTATAACATCCGAAATGTGGACTTGTTGTGGACTTAAAAATAGCGCATATAATTTTTTTTGATTTTATTACAAAATTTTTATTCTTAGCTGAGGACATTGTTTAATGCTTCTATAAAAGAACATATTCCACCAGAAAATTTATCGATCTGTCAATTTATGCATATACAAGGTGCGTTCTTGAATTGATCAGAAAAATAGTACAAGAAATCCTATAGAAATGAGATACTCGTCACTTATTGGCGGGTAGTGTTTCAAGTTATTTACTAGATAGTTAGATAGGGGACTTTGTTGCCTTGTTAAAAAAATAAAGTTATCTTTAATTCGCCTCAGAAGACGGAAAGGACGTAACACATAGCTCAGATAATTCAAAAAAAGAAAACAAAAAAAAAAATTACATAGCGCGTAAAAATAACAATGATAAGCGGGAACTAAGTCTTCCAGAGAAATCGTATGCGAAATTGATGATGAGTTCGCCCGAGACGTGTCAGATTCATGGACACGAAGCCGTCTAAACGATGCATGATCTGAGAATAAAATAGTAAAACATCATCAACGCTAAACGATTAGCCGAAATTTTTCAATAACAAATTTATGTGTGTTAATAGGGCGCTACAAAATACAAAAATACCTTATAAGACATTAATTCTACAACAAATATTATATGCCCCGGAGTCTTTGCTTACTTTATGCTCTGAACTTTCATTAGAACTTAAGCTACTTTTCTCTCAAACACAATTGTTTGCTACCCATAATTATATAATATATATATATATATATATATATATATACGTAAGTAACCTATCTTTTGAGTAAAAGTATTGAGAGATTCTTTAATTAATTTAATTAAATACAAAAGTAACTTTCATTATCATATACGATTGTTTAGCATTTTTCGAAAAGTTTCATAATTCGGTCAACTTTTTTCATTTATCGGTGAAGTGTTATCTTTCAAACGCATGTTAGTATGACGCAATTCGATTAGCTTTGATCGGTATACGACATCAGAAACCATCGTACCACAAACATTTTTCAATGTGCTTTCCCCAAATCATATAAATATAAATGGCTTAGCAGTCGAAAACTTATTCCACTTCAAGGAGGCGACTGCATCTTTTCAAAGGAACTCTCTCTCTCTCTCTCTCTCTCCCTTCGTCCCTCTCTCGCTCACTCTAAAATATTTCGTTGAGTAGTCGATAGTAGTGTTTCTTCTATCGTCTTTCTTTAAAGTTTTCTCGTAGAAATTTAATCACACACACACACATACACACACACACACATACATACACGCGTTGGATACGCCTAAAAAAACGAGCTCCATATTACTTTTATCGCATTGGGTTAACTTGGATACGGTATTTCATTGGGAGACAAAGAACGGACCTGTTACCTCGACATATCGATTCTATATACAAGTTGCATGGACTGGCCATTTGAATCCTTGCAACATGACATACATCGGTTTTGCAATATGGACGGATAGATGAGTGGCATGTAAAAAAATTGTCCTTGTATTGGGCTTTTTTATACTCGGGCCGCTTTTCGAACGGCAAGCCGTTCAAATCGATTAATTGATATTAGTAGCGTTTGGTATTAGCCGAACTTTAACAGGACATACCTCTTTCCCTCTTTTCTTATAATAGATGTGGATGTATTACAAGCCATTTGCTCTATTGGTGTGAGTTGCGACACCGTTAACGGATGTCAACAAGAAGATAACGCCAATGACGCGTTTTGGGCCGTCTACGTCATAATTCCGGTTTCAGATTTACATACTTGGCATTGTCGTACATGATGTATGTCATTCATAATCAAGCAAAAACAAAAACAGAAATTATTAATATTTTAATAATAGCAGATGAGCCCTTAACCCAACTTTATTGGTTCGTACATTCTAATCGAAAGATCAAAGTGATAAGACAACCGTTTGCATTTGTAAAGTGTATAGACAAAGTATTCCGCTTGATAGATAGACGGGCAGAGATCATCAAAGCTTTTTATCTATTCATGCTTACAATGTTTCCTTCGATGCATGCTTCTGTGCGTTGCAAGTTTTAGTTCACTCTTTGTGACGATGTAAAAGGATACAAGCGGTCAGTCGGTGAGTCGGTCAGTCGATTTAATAATAATCGTTGCACGCAAGCTTCTTTTGTTGAGATCCCGTGAAGAATATCAAAAAAAAAATATTTCGGATGCTTTTAGCAAAATAACTAATAACTGGTCAGCTGTTTGTCGGTTTAAAATAAAAAATAAAAAAGGAGAACAAACGAATAAGAGTTTCACTCAACTGCATTAAATTGCTGATAAGCAGACGGACAATCATCAATCATATCTGTAAATAAATAATTTTCTTTCATCATTCATCATTTTTTGTTAATAATTTTCAACAACAATTGTTTAACTTCATTCGCACTTGAATTAATTTTAATTAAAGGGATTTTTCATTTAACCGATTTTTATTTTTAATCAACCAACATTATTAATGCTTCCGATACTAAATTAAAAAAAAGAAAAAATCCATATTTATCGATAAGTTTATCTTCGAGGCATCAGCCAGATATAAAACGAGTTTTCGAGATCAAAATCTTATTTACCTCTATAACGGAAATTTCTAATTGCAAGATATTTCGCTTTATTACAAAACTAATGAACAACATGTATGAAAATTTGCAGACGGAAGTATCCGCCAGGAAAGTGTAAATATTTCAATGATTTAAATTATGATGAGGACAATGCATGCTGAAGCATGATTTCGCTGAACGAAAATTGCCCTAAACTAGATGTAAATAATAATTTCCAAGTCTTTAGAAACGATTAGCTAAACAACTTGGATACGTGTGCTCCAATTGCATTTATCTCGTCCATCATTCGCTTACACAATGTCTCTTTGTACAACTTTCTCTTCTATCAACTCTCACCTGCACTCATATATTCATCTAAATGACGTTTCTGTAATTTGCTTTGAAATTATTCTTTTACATGTTTGTTTCCGTCGGCCGATGTATTCCTTAACTTGACTTATTTGTGAAGATGTTTTCCATTATTATGTTAGTTATTGGTGAATTGCAGGCAGAGAAGAAAGCAAGATTAGAGAGCGAAAGAGAGAGAGAGAGAGAGAAAGAGAAAGAGAAAGAGAAAGAAAGAAAGAAAGAAAGAAAGAGAGAGAGAGAGAGAGAGACCTCTGGCGGGCAGTGCGGTTAAAGAACAGCCGTCTGGGGTATTGTGTCGAGGGGCGTGTGCAGGCACTTTCAGGCCAAGTGCGCATTTGATTTGGGTATATCCACACACTCACACACACACACACACACATAAGCTGATAAGCCGAAGTTTATCGAGTGTTTTGGACGCCCTCTTGTCGCCAATGAAAATCTAAGCTTTTCACTCTATGCGATGGGTCGTCAGTCTCCCAGCAAGAGAGTTCTGGTTCGCATATGCGAATTGTACTCTAATTTTTGCATTTTATTCGATCTTATTCGTCTAAATGCTATAATCAATCTTTTGATCTCATGCTTAATCTATCCCAACTTTAGGGATATAATTTTGACTTTCCTTTTCCAACTCAAAATTTTCTATCTGATCAAGAATACATAGACTTCTGAAGTCACTGAAGCCTGCTTTTGGGTGTTACATACATTGTGGAAAGAAACAAAAGAAGTATACTCCCGTCATACAGTGGTGGATATAAAAACCTCATAAATCATGATTTCGATTGAATTCCTTTATAAGGCCAGTGATAAAGAAACCAAACTTCTAGGGTAAAAACGAATAATGCTTCGAAAAAGCGCAGAAAAAATTTAAACTTACTGCCAAATCATGTCGTCAATAGCATAAATTGACTGCAACTCGAACACTTGTATGGGATAGAGTCTGTTAAAAAGTTTGTGATCAACGAATCTGTCTCATCTTGCAACGAGGAAGTCTTATCAATACAAAAGTATGTGCGTGCGTTGTGTTGTTAAATTTTTTTAGGACATATATGGAAAATGTTGTCGTCTCTTTTTATGAAAAATCTCTTTCTCTCACTCCTTCGCTTTCTAATATTAAATTTTGAATGGGTTTGTTGTTGTCAAAATAGTAAATGATTTTCTTTGCTTACATTCTTTTGTTATGTTAAAGAGCAGAATTTACCTGTCGTGTCACTAAAATTTCTACAAAAAATTCCTACTCGGTATTGCGGTCGTTTTTAGTTAAGTAATGCTAAGAGTATTTAGTTCGCAGGCTTTTCCTTTCCCAAACGAATTTCGTAATCAGACTCTTTGAAATGACAATGACACGCGAACTAGGACTGATTGTTTGATGTAGGTCTCAGTTAGCGGTCTTAAGAGTGCTTCATTTTCTTTTTTAATATTTTAACTTTCAAAAGTTTATTATTTAATCTTTCAGACGCGTTTACAAGTTGACCTTGAAGACTTTTTCAAAATTTAGTTTAATGTATTAGCTTTAATTTACCTCTATCGTGGCCATTTTGTGGGGCGAACAATTGAATATTATGCGAAAAAGCTTTTAATGTAAAAATGTATACTTGATAGCGTTAAGGAGGGACGAGGTAATATTAATATAATGAGTGCATCGAATTTACGAGATAACAAATTATGCTACAAAAACAACAACAAAATTTTGAGATAAAATAAAAACACAAATCATATTCGGCTTGGGTCGCACCTTCAGGTCAAAATAAAAAAGGGGAAAAAAATATATATATATACATACATGTATATGCATGATTTTGCAATTTTGTTAACAAAACTGTCCGTAATAAGAAAAAATTTTGAGTCGAAATTTCTTTGTCTAAACAACGTCTTCTTTATCCAAAATTCAGCAAATCAATGACATCTGGTTCCATGTGCAGTGTAAAAAGTTTCTAGATTTTCATCATGATTTCAATGTATACATGTACAAGCATACACACACATACATAAATCATAT